GATAAAATCATGTTATTTGGAGTGATTCTTACACTGGTCAATAATTATTAAGTCCTACTTAAAGCCACCCATACCACCCAATTAACTACGTAGAAATGAACCTAAAAACTTGGCTCATGAAGTAAAATCCCATCAGAAAATGCCTCAGCACTCTCCAACTGAGTGGAACCATCCTTTTCTCTGTTGCGCTTATCTGATTGCATCGGACAATCCCCAATCCCAAATCAAATTTGCAGAGACGGACTTGCACAGGGCAAGACAATTTCTCACCAAAACTAGGAAACCCTAACCCTACGATACACTTGGCAATTACTTAATTCATCTTTTAGAAAAAGTTATAGAAACACATTCAATGTATGTTATAAAAAAAAAAAAAAATTAAAACTAGCTAGATCAAACAGTTGTTAATGGTGAATTACTCTTATTTCTCAAATCCTTCACCATCAATCTAAAGACGTAGCTGGTTAAGTATAAGGGGTGGCCACCCCTCTAAACTTTTAAAAAATGTTAAATAAAGTACATCAAGTTTTTCTTTTTCATTTCCAAAATTTATTTTCGAAGTTTTAAATTATAAGAACCATTTCAAACACAAAACATTTAGAACTTAAATGGAGGATAAAATTTTCTTTGTGATCAATTTTTAAGACAAAGTAATTTTATTTGGATAAGAAAAAAATTAAAAAAGAGTCTAAGACTAAGTTACATTAGTGTAATTACACTAATCAATAATTCATTGTACATTTTATATTTTGTTAAACAAAAATATTTTATTGAGATAAATCATTCATTCAAATTTTAAGTTGATTTGATACCTCTGATAATAATAATAATACTAATAATAATAATAATAATAATACATATCAATATTGACTCCTATAAAAAAATTGAAACTTTAAAAGAGAAAGGGTGCAAAAAGATGCCAACTTTGCAATATATATATATTTATTTAAAAATGCAAACTTTATTGGTTTTTAATTAAAACAATAAATTTTTAATATTTTTTATTTAAAGATATTAACTTTGATTCTTCTTCTTCTTCTTCTTTTTTTTTTTTATTTAAGGGTGCTAACTTTTCCACTCCCCCCCTTTTT